TAATTCAGAAAGGTGACACTCACACTGAAAACGTGTTTATCCAATTCATGATTGCACTGGAGCCAGAGCCTATCCCAGTAAGCAAAGGGTGCAACATGGTATACACTCTGGACAGGATGCCAGGGCACACACTGACACAGATACAGCACACACTCACTCACACTAGTGCCAACATATTTCCAGAAGCCACTGAACCTTCGAATATGTTGTTGGACGGACAGAGGAAATCAGAGCTTCCAGAGGAAACCTACGTGAACACAGGAAAAATATACAAACTCCATGCAGATAGCATCCCACCTCTGGAACTGCACCCAGGGTGCCTGTGCTAAGAGACAGCAATGTTAACCACTGCACCACTGTGCCGTCCATGGACTTCACAATGAAATAATCATATAAAGGTCACATTATGCTCAGTGACTGTATGGTTAAGCTAGAAAAATATGTATTATGTGTTATAGGACGAATAGTGCAGATCACAAGTGTAGGTTGTACAGCTTGAAGAGGTTCTCCATAGAGAAGTTGTCAAATACTCAACAAGAAATGTTTAAAAGCTAATTAAATAGTTAAAAAAGAGATTTCTTGAGACCAATGAAGTCAATGGAGGCTTTAAAAAATAATGCTGACTGAGTTATAAATTCCTTTTAACATCATGTATTTACATAAATATTTTGACAGATGTTTAATTTGCATGTTACAGTACTGAGTCATGTCTTTTGTTTTCGATGTACTTGTATAGCAACTGTACAACTGCATTTTGGTGCTAACAGGACTTTAAGTACAGCTCATCCAGAGAACTAAAATTTGGAACCTAATGTATAATGCCTCTGTCCACATATGTATAAATGGTCTCTATTATTTTCTAAGGACATGAATAGCTTTAGTTTAAATTAAAACCCTGGACAAACACAGAATTGAAATGTTAAATTCCAATAACATTTTAAGACATTAATACTTTTTCAACATTTACAAATCAAATCCAAATTCAGCAAGCTAATCCTGTCAGAGAACTGTTAGTCCTTCTTCTGCAAGCTATGGACATGCTCTATTATATATAGTAACTGAGTGTAAATTTATTCTGAATTGAATTTTAAAGTATTCAAATTTTCTTAAGGTGCTCTCTATCATCACATCAACTATCTATTTGAAAAGGTTTACTTAGACATTTCAAAGTAACAACTATGGGTCGCTGCTGCTCATTCCTAAGCTTTCAAAAATCTTTGCATTTCATGACAAAGGAAAAAACGTCCCCAGTAAAAACAAATGCCCTATTTATATTCATACTTTGGGAATTTTCACATTAATACATTTCTCTTTAGCACACATTTTCAATCTGGGAATCTCAGCTATGAATGTCTTGTGTTTTTAAGTTGAAAGTAGGACAGAACCCATGTGTTTTACTCTGTCTGTCTGTATTTTAATGGGGCATCTAATCCCTAAAAGAAACATATTCCAGCTGTGACAGATCAATAGCCTTCTTGGTGACAACACCGGTGATTAACACTTGTAGTAGCTAGCGAATACCATATACCGCTGAAGTCTCATGAGGCCCAGAATTAAGAATTACGGAACACTGTCAATGACTTGTATTTTCCAACATAAACACAGGAAAATCCACGCCCAACTGAAACTCACACATTGAAACGATGTGTTTCCTTTCTTCTCTTTTCAGCATGGAATTAACCTATTACTTGCTCCTAAGTATAGTATGTACCATTATATAAGAAATAAACACTAATATATACGTACAGTAGGTAGTATAGTACTTTTTATACAATAGATAGTATACAGTAAGTTTCCTTTTACTGATAAAAAAAAGTAACTTATTCTTATTTGATTTTACTGTGTTTCCATACAACATATTGCATTGCTGTATTTGATTTTCATCAAAAAAGGTTTTGTATGCCTTACTTAAGAGAAGTAGGAAGAAACAAAAAAGACACCAAGGGACAATGCTGTGATACCTGACATTTTACTGCTGAATAATGAGTATGGAAGTAATAAAAAAATTAATTATATTCTTTTATTTATTATGTGCTGTATTTGTTAGAATGGGAAATACAGTGGGAATTCCTCTATGCAGTATGTCCTACAGTATACTGTATGAAACTGTATACAGTTAAAAGTGCAGAATTTAAATCAAGGGTCGTTAAAATTATTTAATTCACTAGTGAGCCCTCATTTAGAATATTACATGCAATTTTAGTTGCTATGATTACAAAAAAGATATTGCTGCTCTGGAATTAGTCCAGAGAAAAGAAGCCAGATACATTCCCGGACTTAAAGGAATGTCCTACACTGACAGCCTGAAGGAACCTTTAAGACTTGAACAAATAAGTCTAAGATACTTAATTCAAGTTTTCAAAATCCTCAAATGCATTGATAAAGTTAACTCTGTGTCATTTTCAGAGACATTACTGTAAAAAAAGAAACCATAGGACATAAGTGGAATGTACACAGAAGAACTTTTAAAACTGAGAACAGGAGACACTGTTCTAATTTTCTCCTGTCTTTTCTTGTAATGTCTTTTTATTATGACATATCCTATATCCTTAAAAAAAGAAAAAAAATCCAAAGGGTACAGCTTTCTGGCTGGTTCAGGACACAGCTGTCAGCTCCACATGAGAAGCCACAGTACGATTATGAGTGGGGTTGCTGTTCAGAAATGTGATGCAGACTGTTGCTTCAACTAAATGATGCATGTTGATTTGAGCCTCAGACTAGCAGGTGGTGGAAATATCTTAACTTTGTTAATGAGGAACAAGTTCGGCTGGCCTCTCGCCGAGTGGCAGTGTGGCTCCACTAGCATGTTGAAACTGAGTAGCTGGGTGTGCTGAAGTCAGGGCCGGGACATGTACTGTACAGTACATGCGCAGCTGGAGTGACTCTCCTGGTGTGTTGGAGCCGAGCAGCTGGAGTGACTCTCTGGGTGTATTTAAGCCAGGGCTGGGGTATGCACTTGTGCAGCTGGAGTGACTCTCTGGGTGTGTCGAAGCCAGGGCTGGGACATACATACAGTATGTACAGTACACCCGGAGTGACTCTCCAGCCGGGGTCTGGACATGCGTGTGTGCACGTGGGTCCTGAGCAACTTGAGGAAGTCCTGAGGAACTTGGCTTCGGCATAACCACCAGAGGCTGCTCGTCGCTGGATCCAAAGATCAGCGCACTAGCGTTTGGTCGATATATACCTAGAACTGCCACCTCTAGAGAACAGTGGTAATGCCTGGCACAGCCGGGCACCGCTGCAGAGCTCAGGTATGTGTAGATTACCCCTGTCTTTGCTCACGGAGCTGAATGGGGTCACGGGCTCAGAGTGCTTTCAGTACTGGATTCTGGAACATCATTGCATAGCAAGGTGGCAAAGGAAATCCGGCACTGCCTTGTAAGCAACTTTGTTCTTTCCTTGGATTTGAGGCTGGTAAAAACCAGTCCACGTTATGTTTCAGAAACACACTGTCCGCTCCCAGGTCCTGACAGCAATCAAGTGGGACTGAGTAAAAATGTTATTACTGTTAAAGGAGTGATGTTATTTTAAACAAGAGGGATTTATAATATATGATTGTCCGTGCTTATGTGGTAGAAATTGAAGAATCTTTGATTCTTTTATTTATTTTTTTCCCTTGGCTTCATTTATAAGCCTTCTAAAGGTATTTAAATATTAATACTTGAGTACTTTTTCTTTTTATTCTCCTGTGTCAGTGGATGTCTTTTTTGCTCTATTTGTATGTATATGTGTGTGTCTTTGTTTTTTTTCTTGACATTAAAAAAATAAAATACAAATATTTTTTTTAAAAAGGAGACTGTTTTACAAAAAAAAGGTTGTAAGGATCTGGAACAATTAACTATGTTGTTAAAGGCTATCCTCTGGCAAAGGCCAGATGATTCCTGTTCAGAAGAAGAAGATGCTAAATGTACTTATTAAATTTACCACAAACTATGACATTTGTTTAGATTACCAATACATTTTGAATCAATTACTCAGGTTAACGTTAAATTGTCTTATTTTGAACATATGAAGAGAGATTAACAGAAATGAAGGGTAACGTGTCTGAAAAAGTTTAGATTTTCTAATTGAACCCACATAAAAACAAATGTTTTACATCCAACATTATAATAAAAAATCTCTAACAATACACTGACTGTAAATATGTTTTATACTTCTAATGAAAATATAGGATGATAAAACAAAATGCTTATAAAAAGTTCTAACAGATTACTGTTAGAACCTTTATGAATCCTTTAGTTAGTTCCTTTATGAATCATAGTATTGTCATGCTGAATATTGAGTTTACGAATAATGGACATAGGTTCAATAGGTTATGTAAAGATTTCTTATTAATGTGCCTGGATGTGATCGTTTTTTTTATTTCAAAACCTGAATCGTCCAATAGCCTTATTTTAATGACTCCCAAGTTTCAAATTGCTACATCAAAACCCACTACTATAACTCTTGTAAAAGCACAGGAGGGAAGAAGAATCATGTATACCACGTCCTTGAGCCTGTCATAGTCATGTTACTCATTAGGAACCCTGATGTTTCCTGCAATGGAGGCTGGCTGTTTGCACAGGGGAATTCAGAGCTGTGTAGCTTAGGGTTGGAAGATGCTCTAAGAGGCACACTGGTCCAATCCTGGCACAAAACAAGCTATTTATGTTGAGGCGTGTACTGTTGAAACATGTGCCATTTTTCATATTGTGAGCCCCACAGTGTCTACAGTCCAGTAAGTCATCAAATGGAAAACTAATCTGACAGAACTACAAGAGCATAGGTGTCCAAAAATGCGTAGGCTCCGTAGGTGTCAGCAGCCTACGAATGCTGACGCAGCTACCCACCGAACTACAAAAATCCACAAGTCTCACTGAATGTACTGTAGTGTGGCAAAAGACAGATGCCCATCTCCAGCAACACTTGACCAGTTGTACTGTACACCACCGCTTATGGAATCACTTTCTTTTAATTTCAGAATGTGTTTATATTGTTCTAAATAATGAGTGGCTGACCTTTGGTCCCATTGGGCCACCGAGTCCATTCTTCCCAGGGATTCCTTGCTCCCCCTAAATAGCAAAAGAAAATCCCATAAAAGGAATGCCGTACAGAAGTATTAGCAACATTTTTATCTGAAAAACTGTACATTTTTAAACCCATTTCCTTCTAAAAGCCAAATCAAACATAATTACAAGAATAAGGCTTCTTTTCTCCAAACTCTCCAATGCTAACATAAAGCCGGAGACAGGTCAAAATTGGAAAAACAGTTGTGAGACACTGAAGACGTAAAGCTCTAGGCTTTAGGCTAATAGAGGTATTACAGGAGGTTTTAGATTTGCTATAAAATAATTCATTCTGATCCCATCAAATTAGTTTATCACTTGATGCCATCAAACCAAATGTGTAATAAATATGCAGTGAAAGCTACATTCACTGTACATAAAACAAACGTTTTCTTATTAAAATTATTATTGCAGGCATCTAGTACTAATCTGGCATAATAAATGACATGCTTAATGAGCCAAGAACCCAGGAGAACATCAGCTGCAATCCTGACCATGCCAATCCTGGCCGCAACTGCACAGTAAGAGAAACAACTGTCAAAGGAAGAGGAGAGAGTTTCTTAATTCAGAATTGTTTGATTACCTTGATCTTGTTCTGGGCTCTGGGACACTCCTTAGGAATGTGTAGCACTCTTTATTTGTACAGTATATTTGTTTTTAGTTTTCTCATGTTTCACAATGCATTAAACATGCATCTACTGTACCTTATCTTACCACAAATCCCTGTATAGTACTTTATCACACATCTCTATGCTTCACCATGCTTTTACTTAATTTTCACTATTTGTTTCTTCTGCCTTTACCATGGTATGCCATTGTAAATCTATAAGGATCTTGAAGTAAGCAGGCAAAGAGTCACAGAATGATTCTGACAGACTGATTTTAGTAGTTTTCTTCATGTAATGTATGCTAACTGCTGTAAGATGAAGCCGACAGTGTAAATCAGGATGAGAAAAGCAATAATTACACTGTACTTCCTTAACTAATAAACAAAATCAACTGTCTGTACCATAGGTCCAGGCTGACCAGGAATTCCAGGTATGCCAATCTCTCCTTTGCTTCCCTGCAACAAATGGGTAATACATGAGCATTTCAACAGACAACAACCTATCAACTGATTTATTCATTTTTGGGGCCTCTAAAATATTGGTAGACATTGGAGCTTTGCTTACTATAAATTATTTGAATGCAACCAGTGCTACTAAAAATGTTTAAATACAACACTGATTATATTGGCTAGGTTCAATAAATATAAGATGAAAATATATTTTGGGCTATTTTTTTTTTACTCTAAGATCTGAGATAAATTTGAAGTACTTCATGAACATAACATTCTCCGACATGTAGATTGAGGCACAGATGAGTCACTTTCTCAGAATTAAGAAGTAACGTAGTAAACTATCATTAGGAAATTCCAAACTACTTTCAAAAGAATAGCACAGAAATAACACATTCTCTAATGTCTTAGAGAAACTCTTAAAATTTCAGGCTTTTATGATGTCAATTATCAATTACAGTATCTGACAAAATACTGTATGCTTACCAAGCTGATATTTGGTACCTGTACTGTATGTTACAAAGGCCACACATTCTTCTCAATTTACAGTACAATATATTCCATCAGAAGTGAAAGGACTTTTCTAAGTTAATCATGTGTTTATTCCTGTGCTTTATGATGTGACTTCAGATATTTTTATACACGATATGTGGAAATTATTTTAAACCAAAAACACATGGCACATCTTTGTGCAAAGAGTTGTGAGAGCATTAAACAAGCTATCCAATCATGTTGTTGAAACCGACTCTGGCTTCTTCTAAGAAATAACTAGATGGGATCTTAGGATCACTTTGTCTTCTAACTACCAAATGGACTATACAGGTGAAATGACCTCCTCTCATTTGTACCATTTCTTAGGTTCTCATGTTATTCTTCAGTTCTGTTACTCTGAAGGCCTATAATTATAACCACTATAAGAAGCCAGTTTTAGAAAATGTAAGACTTTAAATTATAGTGTAATACAGATTCTATGACATTTCGTGTCATTTACCTTTTTTCCAGGGATTCCTGCAGAGCCCGAGCGTCCTGTTAACCCACCAGGCCCCTTGAATGAGAAAAGACTAAGCAACAAAATTGATGGGTCTTAAACAGAAACAATAATCTAACTGAATGTTTAACCTTTTTACACAGTCTCCATGTTTTTTTCATCCTGCCTGTGAAGTACTGGAATGTGCTAATTAAATATGAATTATATCAATTATTTTTCAGTGCTGAGAAAAGATTCTATGCCATGTTATTTTCCATTTTTTACTTGTTTCCTTTTCATTCCCATGATCTTTATGTGTACCCTGTGATTGTATGAACATTAATAGGATTATTCTTCTCATAGTAAAGTCTGTCAGTACAACAGATGAAAAGAGGCAATCGTACATCACTTCTCAAGGTGTCACTATACTGAAACCAACTCAGAGTATTTTCTGACTCATTTTTAAACACCAAGGTCTGTGTGATACTTGACTGGAATTACAGACTCACACAACATATAACTCATACAATACAAGTTCTTAAAGTTGTAATCACATTCTGAGTTTTCAAAACCCACTGTACGATAGAATCTCAAATTCTAATTGGAAGTTAAAACACAGAAAATGTCTTGATTTACTAAATGAGAATTCAGTTTAAAAAAATACAAAACATCCTAGGGAAAGGGCCACACCAGCTCTAACAGCTGACTTTTTCTGATGGCCTTACCGTAGGTCCTGGAGAGCCGGGTTTCCCTGAAATGCCTGGTGCTCCTCTTTCGCCCTGCACACAAAGTAGACCATAATAGCTTCCTTTAGTCTCACCATATACTGTATTTCTATACAAATAAAACTGGAAACATTCAGACAGCCTTACTTTGGCACCTGTTCGTCCAGGCTCTCCTTTAGGACCAGGTAGACCTGGTACACCCTAAAAATGAAACAAATAAGCATTTACATGAAACTCACACATATTCAATTTCAGAAATATTTTAAAATATAGAATCTTCAAAAAGTATTGGGACAGTGCAGTCTAATCTGGGAATTTCATTATAAACTCATTTTTCATGAGAAAAAATATGACTGATAAGTACAACACCTTTTGTAAGTATGTTATTTTGAAAAAAATATCAATTCAATTCTGCCCTCTTGTGTCAATTAAATAAATTGTTAGTGTTTAATATTTTGTTTTATTTTGAAGGACCTTGGTATTGGAGCAATTGGCTGATAGGTGTTTCCTTTTAGTCAGATGTTAATTGCTGAGTAATTTGGCATTCATAATACCTATGAATATCCTCTCAAACTATCTTGCTTTGACTTCTTTGGAGACCATAGTTAAAAGAAAACAAAGAACATTCTGTATAGAAAAGCAGGCAAATTCAAAGCTGAAAGTAAATAAAAACTCAATCAGATTGATATAAAAAATGTGCTCCACAGTTATAATTAACAATCGGCCAAGAGCGGACTGGCCAAGAAAACAATGTGCATGAAAAAAAAATATCAGAGCTGACATGGAAAAATTCTAAAGCAATTACCCGTGAAATCACGAAAACTACAAAATTATAAAAGTACAGGACTGAAGGTACCAAACCTCCATAGGTAGGAATTACCAAGACTGTGATGCAAAATGTAAACCTCTTGTCATATCTAAGAATTTGCTTTGAAGTAGATAAGGTGGGAGAGTTTTTATAGACAGATAAGACTAAGATAGCCTTTTACCAAAGTGATTGAAAGATGAAGTGTGGAGAAAGAAAGGAAGTGCAGATATTCCAAAGATCACTATCTGTGAAGCATGGTAGAGGTACTGTAATATCACGGCCTGGGTGTGCAACCTCTGGCTGGGTCACTCTTTCTTACTGATGACTTAATTATGTTAGCACCAGAACAATTTCTGAAGTTTACAGAACCATTTAGCCATCTCATGTTGAAAGAAATGCTGCTTATTTATTTGGTGGCACTTTACCATGCAGCATCATAATGACCCAAATCACATGGCCCATGCAATCAGGAAATTCATCAGGAGAACAGCATGGAAAATTTAAAAATGACCAAGTCAGTCGTCAGGCTTAAATTCAACCGAGCATACATGCTGAAGAAAAAAGTTGAAGCAATCTGGGAAGAACTCAAAGTGGCTGCAGATAAACATCTCTGATGATTACACATAGATTGGTGAATTGGTGAAATCAAAAAGGGATTTTCAGTGCATGACTTTTACATTCTGAAATATATTTAAAGTGAATGTGCCTTTATATGACAATGCATATCGTTACTTCAAAACACAGAGTTGCTCCAGAATAAATATATGAATGTGGGAAGGCCCCAATAAATTACATAAATTACATTGCACTTATCATTTATATTGATCTTATGATCCCAAAAGCAAATCACTTGACTGGAAAATTGACAATCTGAACCAATACTATTTGTAGGGAACTTTATGTACTTTCTAAACATTGCTCCTGTAAAATACATCATGTTACATTTATTTTTGCTTCTGCGTTATTGTCAAACTTCAAATAATATAAACAGATGGCAGCCCCACCTTTTCCCCTGGCAGCCCAGGTGTTCCCCGCATTCCCTGTTCACCTGGGACACCCTAGACAAAAACAATTAATCATGAATGTAAACAAGGGTGAGCTTCAAATATGCTTCATACTGTACCAAATGGATTGTGACCACCTGCAGAAAAGACACTCTCAACACAAGTCATACAGAGTCTGTGCCAACAATGTATAATTACAAGGCATTATTGTAATTTGCTTATTTATTTATTTTAAAGTGCCTTAAAATTAGATCTGGGAGATAATAACAGTATTTGTCATTTATTTTTATTTTCACAACAAGTCCCACAGGATACGTATGTGTTTTTGGAGATCCCATTAAGAAAGACAAATATAAAGAGGATAGAGTATCTAAATGTACTTTCCAATGATTATATTTTTGCCAGATGCAAAATACCACACCTCACAATTTTAAAATGTAGGGGCGGTTAAAGTTTTTTTAATTCATTTTAAAAATAAAGTATAACAATAACTCACAGAAACACAAAAATATGTGGTGCTGACACAGAAAAGGAGATAAGAGAGCCTATTAAGTTTTGAAGATAAGAAATCACTGTCAGAGTTTTTGCTCTAGGAGAATGTAATCTAGCCTTACTTCTTTCCATAAGAACAATTTCTGCAAATAAATGTAACCAAATGTGGTTTTACGGTTCTCCCAGTCTGCAGCCAACCTCTTAAAATAGATTTTTCTTTGCAATTTGATCTGCCAAAAAAAGATGTTGTGCCTGAGGACTGACAGTAGCGTGAGAATTAGCAGTTGAGTGCTCAGCAGTACAAAGACACCTAAACACCAGTTAATTGTTTAGTTTAAGATGACTTTGACATCTGTTAAGTGCTTTCTTAATATGATCAGGGGTCACAAGGAGCTTCTCCATTTAAAATGACAACTATAACATAGTTATTTTGTGTATCCAAGTGTATGTGTAGAATGATCATAAAATAACATGGTGTGCACTTACAGTACTGTATATTCAACATTATTTTTCATCATCATGTTAACACAAATGAGCAGCATTGTGAAGTTTTGGGACCCTGGGTTCAATTCCTTGGCGTGCTATCTGCTTGGAGCTTGTATGTTCTTCCCATTCTCACATGGGTTTCCTCAGGGTGCTCCAGTTACCTCCCACAGTCCAAAGATCTGCTGCTCTTCTCAGTCCAAAGATATGCTGGTAGGTTAATTGGCTTCTGTAAAGAAATTGTTCCTGGTGTGTGTTAGTGTTTGTCTGAGTGAGCTCTGGGATGGAATAGCTATCAGGAACCGGCAGGTTGTTTCTGAGGATCCTGTACGTAGCCATGAATTCTGCGGGATGCAGAGGCACTCAATCCAAAATTGTAATCCAGAAGCAAGGTCGATAGGAGAAGCTTTAGATCAGGTAACCAGATAGATCCGAGACAAACCCAGATAGATTCGAGACAAACTGAGATAGATCCGAGACAAACCCAGACAGATTTGAGATAAACTGAGACAGACCCGAGACAAACCGAGAAGACAATCCAAAAGGCGAAATCTGAGAGACAAGTTTGAAGAGGGAAAAGCTAGGTCCAAAAAACCGGGAAATCCAACGAGACGAAAAAAGACGTGCAGCAGAGAACTCTAAAGGAGGACTCTCAATAGTGAGCATTGGTCGGTGAGTCGGGGAACTTTAAATACTGAAGGGAGATGGACGTGGTTGGATAATGTGATCAGTTCAGTATGAATGAGATCGTGAAACAGTGGGTTTGGGAATGTAACAGCGTTTGTGAGGGAGAGTGTGGGGCAAGACAATGGCGTCCTGTCCATGTTTTATCCCACATTGTTCCCATTGCTTGCTGGATTAGGCTCTGGCACTACGTGCGATTCTGTACTGGATGAAGCGGATTAGAAAATGGATGGATGGAAGTCAACAGAAACATCACTATTTGGTAAACTCTTCCAGGTATTTAGCAATGCTTTTATAAAAATGAAAACAGGCATTTGCAGTAGATGCAGCAGCCATCACCGTTTCTCCATATCAATCTACAGCAACAGAGACTGAACAAAATATTTAAAAATTACTATATATAACTATATAATCCAACTATATAATAAGATATAATTACTATACATCTTATTTTTTTATATACAACTTAAAATATTAACTAATTAATTTTTATCTTCAGTATGTCTAATTTGGATATTTAGATTATATTTTATCCTACCATTCACTTGTAATAGTCTTTCATCATTTTTACAGTAGTTTGATTCAGATGGTGAATGTTACCATATTTTAATCAAGCAGGGCAGCCACGGTAGCTCATACAGCAAGGGTATCTAGCTCCTGACCAGAAGGTCCCACGTTCAATCCCAGGTGTGGGCAAGTGATGTACCTTGCTCTAATTCCTTCCAGATGGCTCCCAGGTCTACTCAGCTTGCTTTCCAATTGAGTACCAGGGGTTAATCCTTCTGGGGGTAATAGGCCAGCCAGAGAGTGATGCTGACCACATCACCTCCACCTCCAATGTTGGGTGGCCAAGAAAAATGGTGGCCCTTACTCCCCATTCCCCATGGGTCTGTATGGCCTGAAAAGGGACCTACCTTAATCAAGTAGCTCAGCAGCTCCGTGGTTTTCAAGGTATTGAGTCAGTGGTACAAGATTTTCATTTTCCTTGTTGAAATTAGGAGTGATTTGTATACAGTAGGTAGTGTTGCTACTTGTCATTGATTTCAACTATACTCCCAAACACCTGAAATCAATTACTGTAATTTATGTGTATTTTTATGCGAGGCACTGTATGTGTATTTTTAGCTTTTAGAACATGGGAAGGATTATTGGAAATGAACATTTTCATATTCTTATTAACAATAAATATTAGGGTTCTTTATCTCCACATTAGCAGTATGAACCATGGCTCATTAGAAATTCATTGCAATAACAGAGGGTTACCTTAGTTCACCCGTGATGTGTGGCTTAAGGTACAGAAATAAATCAGGGAACACATGAGAGACTTTGATTGGGAAGGTGTACTGTATGTATTGGACATCGGTCAGTACTCACAGGCTTACCGTCATCCCCTGGGGGACCTGGCCTCCCATTTTCACCTCGGATTCCCTGGGGGGTGAAATAAGCAGTCAAATGAGATGTTTTAGCATTTAAGTAATATACATTTACTGAATTGTATTAAAATTACATAGCAGCAATACTAGCAGTCACACAGTAGGGCGTACAACACACCAACTCTGATTCTGATTCTAATTTCGCTCCATGCACAATATATGAGTAAACCATCACATAACTACTAACAGTCACAAGGATACTAAATCAGTACGACTTGATTTATCTCTTTCTTTGCTTGTCTGTATGACACATCAATTAAGGTAACTGGTTTCTAGTCATTCTATGGTCGTCTGATGCTTTCTGATGAGCCTAGAATGATGATGATGATAGACAGAGATGTTTTCTGCAAACAGAGAAAACTACTACATATCTATTACTCACACTTTCACTTTGCTTCTTTTGACACTTTTATTGAGTAGAGTGACAGATTTAGCGAATGCTACTTTACCAAAATCCTAATTTACCTTTGGTCCAGGGAGACCAGGAGATCCAGGAGAACCAGTAGGGCAATCACATTTGTCCACATTGGGTAATCTATCCAGTGGGCACTGGTAAACAAAGGGTACACAGCCAGCTCACAGAAAACATACTCAAAACTCTTTACAGACATACAGTATGTATCATGCATATGAAGATGACAGAAAGTAACATACAGTACTTACCCTCTCATCATCCTGTTCAAAAAGAGTGAGAAAATTGAATGTAAGACATATTCTCACTTCTCTAGGAAAAATTCAGAGCCATGATGGTATTGCTCTTCTCCCTAAAATCTACATCAATATTGATATACAGGATGTTTAAAAACTTTGGCATAGACTATAAATCCACATTTGTAAATCGAAAATGACATTTATTTACATCTGTATGCCCATAATAAATATTGAAAAACAAATCAGCTCCAGTTTTGGGTATTTTCTAAATCAACATCTGCTCCCAGTACTGTTTTATAGTAAGTTTCTAAACTCTACTTGTTATTCTTTTTTGTAAAATAAGTAAACGAGAGCATGGACAGTCAATTATCACAACAGGAAGCAGTGACCATAATGCAAGTCCCTTGAGAAAATAACGTATAACTAATAATATAATAAACTTTAAAGTAATACATCAAAAGTATTAAAATGAAAGTCCCCAATAAAAGGGCATCATTCAAACAAATAAATATTGGCATTTAAGTGAGAAAAATAAAATATATTTTTGTTTGCTTTTTACAAATATGCATGTAATTCACAAGGTGAAGCAACATTAGTAAAAGTAAAAAGTAAGTGTATCAGCATCTGCACATTTATAATGCAAATAGTTATTCAAGTACTGTATATGGTATTTCACACCAAGGCCCTTACCACAGAGTAGATTTCGCATGCCGTCTCTCTTTCACTTTGCTGAGGATCACAATAAAGTCTCAGTTTTTGTATCTCAATCTAAACAAGAAAACAAATACAGAAATTAAAGCTCCTGGATTGAAGCATTTCTGAATTATTTTTTTTATTCTATTAATTTAGAATTGGCCATTAGCTTTTCTATTATTTACCCTAATGGGTGTCTTTAGGTCTTGGCTCACAGCAACAGCACCTGAGCCCACACATGAGAATAGTGAAGGTAAGGTAAGCCCCACAGCAACACACAGTGGGTGCAGTGCCAATAAGGACACAGGGGTTCCTGTTTCAACGGGAGGCCAGGCATCCCAAACCAATGAATGGGGGAAAGATTTATCATCTATCAAAGCAATTTGGGGACAGTGGCACATGCAAAACATTTCACAACATAGCTGAGGATTTTGTTTCTGTATCTCACTCCTGTCATGTCAACATTTATGCTGTAAAATCCATGGGTTTTATCTATTATTTAATCCCACCACAAAAGGTAAATTACCAAGCTCCATATTTTTCGTGTTCTCCTACATGTGGGCCCAGAAATCTCCCTCTTCTCTATGTCTTTGTCCTCTTGTCTATATGAGACATAAATTAAGGTAGCTGGTTTGTAGTCATTCTAGGCTCAACTGATGCTTTCTGTGGCCCAACTCAGTTTCTCCTGCCATAACATACTAATAGATCAGGCCTCCGTTGACCTCAGACATCATATGGAGCTACTGTCTGCACTGAGACATAAACACCTATGGAGATTTTGTATCTGTTGAGTAGCAGTATAAAAGATATGGAGAAGCCTGTTGCCATTACCAGTGATTTTATTATCCTAGAAATTGTACTCTATGATACATTCAGGGTGGCAGAAAGAAGGATCTGTGTGCAACCATATTCAATGTGAGTGCCTCTGCATATTTATCACTTTTTTTGTCTGATGACCATCCATGGACATGACAATCTTGAAATTGAACAGTAGGAAATCGTGGAAAGCAAGTATAATTATTCACGTACACATCTTAGAATGTTTTCTTATAAAAAATGTGACACTGTGCCAATCGAATGAATAACGAAGTCAGTTTTTATTGTCAGGTTGTATCTAACATATCCACAACAAATTATGTGTAGAAGATAAACTAGCTATTGAAACAATTTTAACACACATTTTTTACACAAAGTTGGCAAAACTGCAAAGTGTGAATATATACCGTAGCTAACAAAAAACGTTTCTGTGCAAACTCACTGGTACAGTTGCCTCCCTCTTCACTCGCTTGGCAACCTGCGTCTTTCCATTAATATAGATTGGGATAACCTGTTCCAGAGGCTTTTCTTCAATCTGGACATCATCCAGAAAGCATGTTATGTGCTTCGCTTTAACAAGCAGTTTAAGCTGGTGCCAATCTTCATCAAAGAGTTCCTACAGTATAATATACTGGAATCAGGGCAGGTATTTGTTACATTTTTAGTCAATCATTTGATAAACCCATTGTACACAATCAGGTCATAAATAGCAATGTACTGTACCAATTTTCTGAACATTCTAAGCTTTGTAATATAGTAAACATTTATAAGATAATTATATCTTAAAATTAAATTATGAATAAATGAACAGAATACCATCTCTAAGCAAATTACCTTCAAAAATACAGATTATTTCAAATGTTTTACTGCATTGCTCTCCTTTACATTTATATGTATGTACAGTAGTAGCACATATATATAAAACACCTGATTTTGAAGTTATACAGATGTGTTTTAAATTAATATTTTGTAACACTATCATTTTGTCAATGACGTAAAAGGAAATAAACATTTTCATCATTTCTAAATTACGTTTCTTTTTACATTTATAAATTTAAGGATTGTCCTTAAATTTGTAAATGACTACAAGTTTAAACATTAGTGTTTTTGCTATCAGAATATACATTTTAATATAAAATTGATGTGATGTCTGTCTATCTCTTTATTTTTAAAATTGTTAAATCTGTATTAAAATATGGAAAAAAACCTTATGTGTGACCTGGTCATGTTGCTACATATTCGTGTGGCAAAACTGTAATGTCTTGATGAATTTAAATGCTTAATTCATTCTTTGCCAAAATGAATTTTCTTTTTACTCATCCTGCCAAAAGGAAAATTGACAATATGCCATACTCTAGCTTTTGGAATATGAAATATTAGCCAGATAAAATATTTTAAGTTACATTAAAATTACAGAAAATTGAAAAAGAAATTCCAAAAACAGTTGAATACTTGATTATGTCTTTTTATAATATCTGACTTTGGACTTAAACATTTTCCCAACAATATTGTAGCGCTTCAGGGTTCACATGGGCACCCTCGCCACTGCCGCATCAGGTCGGCCCCCCACCATCGGGGAGTCGAGCCCAGGCCTCCAGCGTCACTCAACAGGGCCCCAGCCTCTTGAGCCAAAGGGAAATCTCCCCTCAGCCCGGCGGCTGCGGTCCCTGCTATCCAAAGGGAAGGGCTGTGACGTCACCGCTCTGTTAAGCCAGATCTCGCAAGTAATGGAGGCCGTATGCATTACACTCTCCCCCACTTAACTCGCTGTCCTCAGCAAAGGGCTATCCCATCCCACTCTAACACCAATGTAACGCTTCAGGGTTCACATGGACACCCTCACCGCTTGCTGCATCAGGACAGCCCCCCACCATCAGGGACTCAAACCCAGGCCTCCGGCATCACTCAACAGGGACCCAGCCTCTTGAGCCAAAGGGAAATCTCCCATCAGCCCTGCGGCTGAGGTCCCTGCTATCCACAGGGAAGGGCGGTGACGTCACCGTGCTGGTAAGCCGGCTCTCACAAGCAATGGAGGCCATATGCGTTACAATATTGATGGTTTCAGAAAAAGTACAGATATATTTAATTTTCTTAGAAATCAACTTATGTGCATAATAATAGTAATACTTCACAACTTCAAAAGCTCACAATCTATAAGCAACATTCACATACAAATCTTTGACATTAGTACTCAGACAGAGTGTTTAAGAATCTATTTTTAGTTGAAGATACTTTTAATCTAGTACATTAAAACAGTTCTGAAGTGGTGCTATTTGTGTGTATGGGAAAACAATATTCCAGTACAAGCCAAAATTTTCAGAGCAGCATTAAGAAAAAGAGAAACATGTCAAGTAGAGCTTTCACAAACCTTTAAGTGTCCATCATCAAAAATGATAGACTGAAGTTCACTAATAAGGCTAGTTGTTGTGAAGGTAACTGTTTTTTCTCCACCATTGATTGTCACTGCTGCTTGAAGAATGTTGTCTCTGGACAGAATTCTCCAAAGGTCAAACCTTTCTTTGTTTGTTGGTGATTTTAAACGAAGAGTGGCCACAAATACATATGATGGAGGAAGACCCTCAGGAAATATATCTCTAGAATTTTAGAAACCAAACACGGGAAAAATAAGGAACAAAAAATGAAAGGATTCAGTATCTTTGTCCTGTTTTAGCAATGAGGAAGTATTCTGCTATAGTATATATTGTTGTTATTATTTTAGGATAGGATAGGATAAATTACATGTATTTAGATAAAAACTAAGGAAACACAACATTTATTTTAAGCACACAAAAACCTAGCATATAATCTATTGTGATTCTCAGTATCATTGATCTAACCTGCCTTAAAATAGCAATTTATGTCATCTGTATTTTGCTTTAATTTGGTTTCCTACTTCTTATTCCACTATTGTTTGTTTCATTTGATTTCTTGCAGTTATTTCTGCATTAACTGGCCTTTAGCAAATGTTCAGATAAAGTGTTTGCATTAAATGGTGATGAAAAAATGTTACACAGGCACCTGAAGATGTCATTAGAAATACTTGCTAATATAATATAAACAAATGTTCTAAACTACTTATGCACTTCAGCTAGGCGGCGGTGCTATCATTTTGTAGCCTTATATCTAGGAAAGTAAACGAGGCTGTTGTTATTATAATAATAACCTTAATAAATGTTCTAATTGGGGATTTTAGATACCTACAGTATATACAGTAAAAGTCTTCTATAGACATTTTCTGTAAAGGTGGGCCTGGTCAATACTGGGATACTATATGAGAGACTTCTAAAGAAAATAACGTTGACATGGTGGTGTTGGTAGTTTGTGGTGGCCTTTTCCTATGGAACATTATTTCCAAAGCAGTCCCTCAGAACAGTGACAGGGATTACTGGCTCACTAGGAGATACCATCCTTCATCCTTTAAACTGCCAGCTTGACTACTTTGTTGTTAAAGCGGAACTGTTTCTCAATTTCTCAATTTCTCAGAAGATGTATGAAATCTCAGTAACAAAATAAATTCATTCATTCATTAATTTTAAACATTTCTTATTGAGTGCAAAATCATAAACTTTGTGAAAGTACTGTGTGGTTGCCATGTTGTTGCAAATCATTGGTCTCGCCACTGGCAAGAGCAAGAGTTTTTCACTAATTGTGACATACAGTGAGCCCTTCCTGCTCACTAGTCCCTGTAAGCAAAAAGGGAAACTTGGTCTACAAACAATGTCACCTTGTATGTTTATATAAAAATAAATACAGTAGCAACATTCACATGGTCTAAAGTATGTGCATTATTACTACAAAAAATAGGTTCGTTTTCAAATATTGACAAGTTGGGATCGGACATATACTGTACTACATATGAAATTTTGGAATGCAGTGAGAGGAATATCAGTGCTTGATAGAAAAATAGATAAAATCTATCTTCACTATATAAGTGATACTTTTTATCGTAAGAGCAATCTTTCTATTGAATTAAAAGAGGTTAACAAGTGTGCTTGTTTACAATGTAACAGGGCAGCTTCATGCCACCAGATATTTTGTTGTCTTGTTTTGAATCTCAGACATTGACACAATGTGACAAAATGCATACCTGGAAATTTTATCAATTTTCTGATGTAAATTGGAGGTTGTACACTTTATACTTTCATTGTGGTTTGAAATGTACTTATCAATGCCAATTCTTTATAACCCTGACATGTAAAAATTGTTTTGCAGTTCCCCTTTAAAAATCTCATGAAACTGTTTGTAAACTTTAAAGGCGGTGTCCTAGCTAAATTCGACTTTAGACTTGCACAATATGACCTACTGAATCTAAACCTAATTATTTTTTTAGTTTTCAACCAGTTCTGCTCTTCTCTGCACCCGCTGGTGTAGAATGGCTGCTGAGACACACCCTAATGGGTGCTGGACCTTGTGGTTGGATTTTAGTTTAGTGGACTTTATAGGTGATTCCCTGCTTATATAAAATGTTCTGTCCTTTAGGATGAAAGTTATTATACAAATACAACAAAATATTTCATATTATAAACTTGTTCAGGATGGAGGAATACTTTCAGAAACAAAAAGCAATATTAAAGTATAATATTAAAGTATAAATAAAGCAATATTAGTATAATAAAAAGAGTGCCAATTAAAATAATGCAACATAATCAGAATTAGTAAAAGAAACAAACAAGACACAAAAAACATGATATCAGTAACGGGATAATTCAGATAACAGAAACAAACCTTTATTACTACTTAATGCTTATTTAATGAATCACTGTTTATGAAACTATCTCTTGATGTTAAAAGTTACCCTGTTCATACACTACCATTTTACTCACAAATACTTTCTTTTCCAAACTCAAAATTTGTCTAACAGCACATAAGCAGTATTCAATGAAGGGCAATTAAATCCACCTTAGAATCAATTGGATTCAACATATTTCTACATGATATTTTGGAATACCAGTGTACATTAAGGTTTAATTTTTAACTGTCGAGTAATACCACTGGAATCACTTGACAATTTGAATAATACAGGTTATTCAGAACTCCTCTCAGACGAAATTGTGATAAACTTAAGAATTTTGTGTCTAAAATCTTACTGCATATGTAAAAAAGATAATTTAATTGGCTATAAAATGTGGTTTAACACATGAATGGTGGAAACACATGCATTTAAACCAACTGATTAAAACTATAAACTCAGAAAAATATGTTTCATAGTCTAGGCTGAGCTGCTGGCTGTACTATACCTTGTCTCCTAGGCAACACAGAATGTTGAGTTCTAATGTATAAAAATCACTAAGTTACCAGAAGCTTTAGCACATTTTACAACATTATAAAAAACATTTTAACCCAGTTTTCCAATGGAGTGCCTTGATCCTAAGTTGTTTTAATTAGTACCTCAGTCACCACCATGTAAAGTATATGACAAATAAAACACATTTAATATACTTAGGAAAATAAATATAAAAAAGTCCTAAGTAGATCCTAGATCCTACATTTTCTTCACTGTAAACAATGTCAAACAATCTGAACATGTGAACATGACAAGGAGCAATGGAAAGATCAAACCCACCTTGTATTCTCTGTTATGTCCACTTGAGAACTCAGGAGGAAGGCTGTCTCTGACATCAGGGATCCCTGTATTTTCTGTGCTTTCTTGTTAATTTTTAAACCCAGCATCAACTCAAAACCCTTCTCATCACGAGAGGCTACAGGAATCCTGGTTGGACACACAGATTCTGGAGAAAACAACATGTGAGACCAACTTGTCTGACCTGACATAACAAGTGTGAAATACAAGTAGAAGTGAACAGTGTAGTTCGAACATATATTAACTCATGGTGTTTGTAATTTGTAAAATTTGTAAAACTATAGTAATATAATATTGACAGGATAAAATAAAGGGCTCAACATATTTGTGTTTCAAAATAAATGAGATTCAAACTAAAATATTCAATCTAACCTGGAAAATATGCTTTCCTGTCTATGCTTGTCATCTCTCTGTTTAACCACAAAAAGATAGCTTTCTTTCACTGTAATTTCAGACCCCAGGCCTGACATTGTGGCTTCACTTCCCTTCTGTTTCCTAAGAAAGTCATAGGAGTACCCTTATTAATCCCACATGTGAACTGCCAATTCACCTGCTGTTAGTGACAACTGAGTGGACTCTATTAATATACAGTAGGTAACTATAGAATTGTGTTTGTTTCATATTCCCATGATTAAACGTTTACCACACAAGATCTGATGGTTTCTAAAATCTATGGACTCTAGCATGCTAAATGGCTTTGGATCAACTTGGCAGTCTAGGAAAGGACATAGATTTCTTGTTGTCTTTAAATTGAAACAAATTAACATATAAACTGAACAAGATTAAATTTCAGTTTACTATATACATGTCAACAAAATATTTAAATACTAAATACTTGGCTTATCCTCTAACTTTTTACAAAATGTCTGAATGATGTATCAGCGGGGTCATTAATAATAAAATAATGCATATACAAATATTCAAATCATTTATCTTGAAAATATTATTTTTGTATTGTCAGCAACCATGTCCATGTAGCAAGAAATGTCAAAGTGTTGCTGATGCAGAAAGACCTGGAAACTAGTGGAATCTTTACATTTTTGCGGTCCTACCTTCACAAAGCTTCTGTTGCATGGCTTCCTTTATTCTGCCAATAGTAGTGTAGTCTTCTGCATACAGTACATAGGTTGAAGAGGGCTTGTTGGCAATCGACACCAGCTCAGACTTGGTGATTTCAGTGCCCACCCCTACAGCAAACATGATGATGTTCTGGGCTTTAGCCTCCACTGAGGCATCTACAACATCATCTTGTGACTTCCCGTCTGTCACAACCACTGCGATTCGGTTCTTGGCTGTGTTGGTCCTCTGAGATGATGGAAAAACATGATCTGTGGCGAATTTGATGGCTCTGCCAGTCTGAGTGTTGCCTCCGAGATACTTAATTTTACCAATGGCTTCAATGACTTCCTGGCTGCTCTGATGTTTTCCCAAAGGGATCTCCAACCTGGGAGTGTCACTGTACTGAACAACACCCACCTGTGTGTACTGGGGACCCACATCAAAGCCACTCGTAATGTTTATGAGCCAGTTCTTGGCAGTGTCAAAGTCTGTGTATCCCACACTCCAGGAGCCATCAATGATATACACCAAGTCATTCACTGCTGTTCTGCAGCCTTCAAACAAGAATTAGACAAGCTTTTACATTCCATTTAAACAGACTGTACAGCAGTCACAAACAAGTGTTGTTGTCATAATTTATTCAATGTTATGTTTAACTAAGAAAAATAAAACATGGTAAAAATAGCTAATCTAAGCACATCAATCTACCTTTTCAATTTTCCCCAGATAAAACTGAATGGAAAATCATGTATGATTTTACTTTTTATTCCTGCACTGTTTTTCCAGTATGCAATAGGATTGTCCCAAAGAGTATTAGCTAGTAGGAATCCACGGAATATGTTTATAATGGTCAATATGTCTACACTAGCTCATATCCCATAAACAGTTAAATGTCATAATCAGACACCTAAGATCATTTATGAAACTGACAACATGTTTTAAAATCCCAAAATGGTATAAAACGTTCAAGCCTTAACTTAAGCACCAGTTGGGTGAAACACATGTATGAAATGCACAAGCAGATGATATACATGAATGATTCATTAAAGATCATTATCAGAGATTCATTAGAAGCTATGGCTTCTACTGTAAAAATCATGATGGAACACATCTTGGTTATATCGTTTTACATTTCCATTTCTTTGCTGTTCTCTTTCAGTTGCTTACTCTCCTTCTTCATTTTAAATTTTGCAATTGCTAGTAACTAGAAAAATAATATATACATACCAACTCGGACATCTTCGTCATCATCATCATCATCTCCAAGTAAAAATGGCAGTAACAAAACCATTATTAATGATCTTAATATCCATGTATTCATTGTAATATTGCAGACAGTGCGATCTTCAGAACCTTCTGGACCTTAAATTAAAATAATATACATAGTTAAGCATTAGTATTAATAGCCTATTATTGTTTTCTCTCTTTTAGTTACAAATTTATTGGAAACTTATAAATTAATGAAAGAGGTACCAAAATAAATGCTCTTTTAGAATACATATTTATTTACTAAAGAAAAATAATTTTTGGGTCCTGTCAGAACTCCCCTTAAAATTGTGCAAATGTTCTCATACACATAATGAATTCATTGGTACGGAGGTCAAGGTTGTATGCCAACCATATGCCATTCCAGGTTCCTGTTGTGTCAATTTTCCAAATGAAGAGTGTCCAAAATCAATGAACACAAAGTTATTCCTAACAGTTTCTCTCCATATTTTTCTAAACTGGATGAAAGGGGAAAAAAAACATTTGTGGCTTTTAAATATTAGGTAGCCACCACTTCAGCATGCTGAAAATTTGAAAACTCATCTTGGCTGTTAAAGCATTTGTTGGATAAAGGTTTTTTAGTAACTTTAAAGATTAAAACTCTTTGCTCCACTTTATTATATTTCATACACAAAATACCTCTAACACTTATTAGGTTGTATATATACAGAGATTCTTCAGTATGTAGGAGAGACTGAAGAGAGCAGAGAGCAAAGGAAAGTGGGTAGTGAACTTTCAGTGTAATGATTACCATTGATGAGAATACCTCTTAGGATATTGCATTTCCACAGCAGTTCAATAGGACAGTTTTTCTTCAATTAGTAATAATAAGGTACTAGTTTCTTAAATAACTAATTATTAGCTTATTGGCAATGCAGAAGATGCACACCACTAGTTGGTGCAGCAGGCACTTTTATGAAACCTTTGCAAGTAGCATAGTGCTCTTCTGTCTGTATGAGATTTAGGAATTTAGATGACAAAAAGCTGGGAGACCAATCCATCTGTCTGGAAACTGACAGTGACCTGGCTGACAATGTTGGGCTCCTGAATTACTCAAATAGTAATAGCGCTTGACTGAATAGTTCTTGAGTTCCAGAACACCACTGTTCGGCATTTCAGCCTGAGGGAGGTACTAGCTGACTGTGACTAGAGTTCCTTAAGCAGTGCCGCCAGTGTGGATGAGGATTACCATGGGTAGAGAGCTATTAGTTGGCCAAGACAACACAGAAACTCCTGCAGTTTTCTGGGTGCTTGCAGGTTTACAGTGGTGTAAGAAAAGGATGTGTTTCACCTCCAATCAATGCTGAATCGCAATGTGTCAATGGATTAGTATTGAAAAATAATATATATATACAGTACATACTGAATAAGGTCTGAGAAAATCATGTACAGTTTCTTTTGTTGAAAACAAAATAATAAAAATGTATTTATCTGGCTCAATATATAAAACAATATTTTATTCTTTTATATTTTATGTGTTCTGGCACATACAGTATGTAATACTGTAAGCAATGATATACTGGGAATCCCAAGAAAATCTCGCATTAACAATTTGTCTTTGTACTGAAAATTGTTGTAAGTAACTTAAAGGAGGGACTTGATTTATTTCCTAACCAAAGCAAAACCAAAAATAAATACCATGCTGAGAAAACTGACAAACCTGTTCTTTAGCATCAAGATGAAGTGTTAAGAAGACAAAGCTGAGAACATACCCTTCTTATGGGTTCAACAAATCGTGTTATGTGTTGCATGTCTCCTCTGATGAAAAGGGTGTTAACTGCTAGAAGCTCATAATATCACCTTTGTCAAGAGCACTCAGAGCAATCTGAGAAGCAGTGAAAGTCAGCAAACATATTTATCATCTACCCCTTATAGTTTATATATTCTGCAATTGGAGCTTTTCTTGTCAAACAATGTTGGAAATAAAACACACAAGAGAGTTTATAACTACAGCTAACTTATTTTTGTTTAAGTGGCAGCTGTCAATTGACAAGAAAAAGTAAGGCTACCCAGACATTACGTAAGAATTAACACTTGTTGGTTTGCCTGGTAGGATGAGGAAGGCACGAGAATCCAGGTGCTGACTGTAGCACACTGGCAGCTGACCCTGTTCTTTACAGCAATCATTATGTCAAAATATTGGACATCTAGTTACCAGATGTTACACAAATTCTGTACACACATAATCCACCCAAAATCCTTAAAGGCGTTGACAAAGTCAATACAGTAAACCTCTATATAGAAACATGAACTGTGAAACAAGAACCAGAGAACACAAGTGGAAACTACTGTATGTAGAGGTGCATTTAAAAGTAAGAACAAGAGGCAGATCTATACACAAAGGCTTTTGGGAGTATGGAATGAAAAACCCAAAACAAATGGTTGAACCTGAGGTCAGATAGCTACTATAGTAACTACCAAAGACGCTAAATGTGCCAAAAAGCTTCTGCTCATTTGTAATTTGTTCTTAAAATAGCCATGATTCAATTAACTGTCATAACATCTTGATAGGTTACACTCCTGGGAAGGAAAATACTTTGCCTCAAAGCTAGCAAACCTAAAAATTCCCACCAGATGTTTCTAGAATAAAATAGCCTTTATTAACCACGCTGCTGTTGAAGTGGATATGTTTGTGCATGAAATCCCTCAGCGTTTTGACTTTTGGAAATGAATCACCTCAAGTAAGAATTTTGTAATTGTTTTAAAACTCAGAAAATTTTTAAGCAAAGGAAGCTAACAGAGACAACTACCACATAGCTGTGGTACACGTTTGGATCCAACCTTGGCAATATCAATATGGTTACAGTATATGTCAACACACAAATTAAATAATGTATCCACTTCAGCCCTGATCTTGTAAGACATTTACGTTTGTGCTGGAATATTTATATTCAGACATTAGTACAGTCCAAAATTAATGGAAAAACACTCAAATACAACAGATGATTTTTATATATTAAAATTGTATAGGTATATAAACCTATAGGTTTTATAGGTAATTCACAATGGCCTTCACTGTCTTAAATGCCACTTTCATAGACATACAGTATATTGTAAGAAAATGTTACAATTAATAGTTCAAATGTATGAAAGGAAACAGTTCAACTCACCAAACTTGCTTGGTTGCTAGCAGCTAAGCGATCCAAAGATCTTATCCAGCCATGTCTTGAAATTTAGTTCAGCCACCTCTTCCAGCACAATTGAAAAACCATGGTCTACTGGTGGCTTTTTGTTTGACAGAAATTTATTTATTTTACTTTAGTGAAATTTAGACAATTTCACAAAAGTTTAGAATTTATAATTGACAGGTGTGCCAAAGCATTTACTTTTGTCTAGGCCTTAAGCTACAGTTTTGTGATGTAAACAAGAACTAAAACAACTTTAATGGAAACTACAAAATATTTTACATATATGGTTTTATAAAGCTCTGATATCTGTAAAATGTGCCGTATTAAAAAATCTAAGCTTGGAGAGACTGGATAAAGCAAATCATCTATATCATGGATCTCACAAACAAACTCTTTTAAGGCTTTTCTTTAGACTTGAAATAGAACACTTACCAATTGATTTAAACACTATAATTTCATTCAGAACAGAACAAATTAAGATATACTGTATATTAATTTTATGTATATTCTCAGACATGCAGACTTTAAAAAATAGGTGTATATTTCCACCTTTTGGCAGCTAATGATAATAACAATATTAACAAATGAGCAGCACTTCAGAAGTTCTATATATGTTTTATTTGGAGGAACAATTAGACGTTGCGTGTTTGCTGTATTGGAGAAAGAAATTTCTGTGCAACAAAAAACTAACAATGACGGAGAGAATGTTCACTACACTACAAAACAGTAATATGTCTACTACGCATGGAAATGGAGTTCCATTGGCTAATGAACTTTTGTATTGTAACTCTGTATGCCTTGTGTTTTTAAGCTTAGAAACATTGTATTTGCTTTAATTTAATCAAATAAGATAGAGGTTTGTCTTTAATCTCTGTCTATTAGTCATCTACTTGTTGGGATTCCCAGTTCTGTAGTACTGTACATCCCTTGTAGAGTAATTTGTTTTATCCCTGGTGTGTCTTTCATGTCAATGTTGTTTCCAGTCACTGTAAATTCATGGAAATTGAACCATGATTTCCCAGTCACACGGCTCCCTATATACACTGCACAACCATGCTCCTGTACATTAATTCTGATGAGCTTTAACAATAAGGAATTGATTCGGTGCATTGAGGTAAAGGAAAGTTATTTATAACAGGAATGATGTATTCTAAATGTATTCACAGTGGTAACCATTGCCTTTTAGGCATGGCATACCACAGACAAAAGCAGTGAACATAATCTCTTGTGGCTTGATAGGAGATTATCAATCATTGAACTATGAGTCCATCGCAGCAGACCTGTTGTCAACACCGTGACATCTAGAAGAGACATTACTTTCAAATTGTTTAGGTATGCCCTTATTTCCTTATTTTTTGAGAATCCTTTTTAAAAGACAGCAACAATCATACTGTGAGAAGTCAGCATTGCTATCTATTTTTTATTTTGTGAAATAATAATAATGAAGAGTGTTTTTTTAAATAAACTTAGAATTAATGAAAAATATAACACAGATGCTGAGCTTTCTTCCAGTGTGATATTAAGAAAAAGAGCTTTTTTCATTACAGGAGTAAAGACAAAAACATTTCATTAATTTGTAGTAGAATGTTTCACTAGTCAATACAACAAACAAAACCAAAGGATAATTTTAAACTGACACTGCCTAGTTTAACTACAGTTTAGTTTACTGCAATATCAACTACTGTACATTCTTTCTAACCCGAATTAAATTCAGTACTTAGTGATTCCTTAGACTAAATACTGAACACTACAAACAACATTCATTTACAACCTTCTTTACATCAGTGAAGTCATTTCGTCATGCACTGTACATCTTCACTATACCGTATATTCCAGCTCACCCAAGTTCTCATTTGTAAAATATGTTTAGGGTGACAGAAGCAAAACTACAATATATTGTCCTTTAAATAGCTAAGCTACATTCTTCTTGTTGTGGACATATAATCATGCATGACACAACATCCCTCTTCAGAAGGAAGGAAGGCTGTATTTTTCCTGCCATTCTAAAATGTAACCAATCTGCTATTCCCTGAAAAATGCCCTATCTGCTATTCTTATTTGAGGGAAAGCCACCAAATTGACTCTAAAACCACAGAGGCATAATCTGATATGGAAGCAGGTATTTTAGTGTGTTAGCATAACTATTTTAGTTGTTAGCATAACAATCTGGACCATATAAGGAGCTCAGATTGGCTGCAATTTTCTGTAGAACAGTCCATATTTACAGTAAATACTGCAGATAAGGTGGCTGGGTTGGCATTAAAAAACAAAGCATAAGGAAATGTGAGAGAATGATTCTGCTGTCTGACAAGGAGTTGTGGAACTGCACTGACAGGAATAATCCTTAACTGATCATCCATATGTTTTCTAACCGCTTTATCCAATACTTGCCGCAGAGGAACCTTTCCCAGCAAGCTAGCTCAGGGTTTACACAGACAAATACACACAGACTCATACCAGGGCCTGTCTTCCCAGAAGCCAATGAGCCTACTAGAATGTCTTTGGACTTCGAGAGGAATACGGAGCATTTGGCAAAAAAACCCACGTGAGCCTGGGAAGAACGTACAACCTCCACGCAGAGAGCATCCCAGGTCTGAAATCGAACTCAGGACACACTACAGTGAGATAGCAATGTTAAACACTGTGATGAAAGAAAAAATAAAAATGTGGCGTAGTACTGTCTATATATAAAAGACATTCATTGTCCCTGTTTGTTAGAGTTATGGATCTCAACTAAAATGATTTAGTACTGACTTCCTTATATTTTGAACAGAACAGGAATGAATAGAACCATTGAAAATATGATTAACTTTTGCAACAAAGGGTCTTTTTAAGGTGAATTTGTAAGTCTCAGTCCTTGTTATTTTCACCATTGTTATTTATTCAACAATAAGCAATACAGATAGTAATACTTACCTTGTTAATTAAGTATAATACACCTCATGCTTAGACTTCATGCTTAGGTTAATAGCTAAATTATTTATTTGAAAGCTGATACTCTAACTTCAAAGTCTAAAAAACTATAAATTCACTGATATATTTAAATATAAATTCACCAAATGTACTGAGCATGAAATGAAACTATTTAAACCTGAAATACATAAAGTTATTAGGAAAATACAAAACCTAATAAAGCAGGTAGCAGGTGTTGCCATATGTTTAAAAATAATTGATAAAAGTAAAATTAATTATTTCTTCAATACAAGGTCTCCTGTGAAAGTCACATGCTATTAGTATGGATGGCTAATGTTGATAGCAATATAAGCTGTACATTTGTGATATATTCTTTGGGCCGTGTTTCAGATGCATTTTTGTGGGATTTTGTCCCATGCATCTTGTAGAACCAGAGCAAGCATGTGCCTGTTCACTGGTCTCTGAGCCCTAGATGCCACACATCATCCCAGCCCATTCCACAAATGTTCCACGACTTAACTGTTACATTCTCATCTCACAAAAAAGTCATTGTTACTCAGGCAGCCTGAGGACATGCATTGTTGGAATGCTGTCATTTCAGGATGAGCCCAGAGGTAGGGCAACAAGGTCCCAGGGCTTCATCAGTGTAGCTCAAAGCAGTCAGGATGCCATCAATGACTACTGTACATGTTCTGTAGAGACATGAAACTCGTGTTTAGATCAACACCCTTGGACTTTCCCAACAAATGGTCTGTTGTACAAAATAACAGAATATTTAGTGTACCATCATGCATGTCTGTATCGTTCCACTTTTAGTATATGTGCTGCCGAAGCAAGCATTCTGCATATCTGTTCCACACTCACTGACAATCCTCAAGTTGGATTACACAAAACCTTCATTCATTGCTAGAGAGCACTTGGTTTGACTGCTGTCAAATGCACCTCAGGTGAGTTAGTCCACCTTCCAACATATCAATAGTGTGAAGGCATTGTTCTCTTGATAAGCAGGGCATGCTCTTTCCTTGATGTGTTTTTCTTTCTTGATTTTAACCAAGTTAGACATCCATCCACCCATTTTATAAAGGCATCATGCAAATCAGGGAGCCAGAGCCTATCCCAGCAAACAACAAGTGCAAGGCAGAATACACTCTGGATGGGAAGCCAGTCCATCGCAGGACACACAGAGACACAATCAAGCACACGCACACATTCACACCCAAAGGCCAATTGACCTACCAGTATGTCTTTGGACTGTGGGAAGAAACCAGAGCACATGGAGAAAACACACAAAGAAAACATACAAACATCAGCCAGATAGCACCCAAAGTCTGGAATTGAACCCAGAACCCCAGCACTACAAGGTAGCAATGCTAACCTTTGCACCACCATGCTGTCCAGGGTTGACCCTCAATAGGTAAAGTACCTCATCACTTGTATCAGTAATGAGAGATTTAGTGCTTGTGCATCATTTGAGTGTATCAATGGTCAGTTAGTCACTTTTTTTAAATTATGCATTCATAAATAGAATTATGATTGTATTTTGATCAGTTAATATGCATAATACAACAAAATGCAGAACTGCATATCACAAAGGTTATATGCACATCGATTATATATAAAACAAATAATTACTAAATGTTTTATTAACATTAGATTTTTATGTGTTACAAATTCACTTATTTTGTAATAAAAAATGCTGTTTTGAATTTTGAAGATTTAAGTATAGTAAATGTTGATGTCCAAAGGATCAAAGTATGTAATAGGTTGTCTGTCCACCGTCAACCTTGACAAATACAGTCTCAGTCATGTGTGGACTCACAGATCAGAATTTAAACCACAGCCTCAAAACTAAATTTCACCTGGTCCCCTGAAAGCCTCTTTTAAGGGCTGGGGACTGCCACCTGAACAGCTAATTAATTGGTTGTCTAGATAATGATGCATACAGTACACTTATATTCACATCCCAGTCAATCAGGCAATCATGCCGCCTAAGGAAATTTCTTTAATTAATCTGGTGATATGATAGCCTTGCATTATTTATTCCTAGAAGGAACACTCCTGTCAAGTTTTAATAAACAGCTGGTAGAGTACTAGGCCACTTTTTCAGCAGTGTTGTTTCAAATGCAGTAAAACAATTGTACTAAAAAACAATGCTGATTTTATACGTCTGATGAACCACAGTGTTATGCTTTCTGTTGTACAACATTGTGTATGATCCTCTTTTTATATGTTCCAGCCTTCACCCTTAAGTGCAATCAACACCAATGGTAACGTGTAGCCCTAATGTAGTACCTGTGTAGTGTCTTCACAACGGCCAAACCATGCAAAACACTCCCCACCCCCACAAAGGTTCCTCCACATTATAAGATTAGGGCAATGCTCATTCTCCTGGCTGCAGCCAAAAGCAGACTCTCCTAACAGAAGCAACTGGTATTTACTAGGATTCTTACCTCACGGGTTGCATTCCCATTCTCCTAGATGCTACTGTATATCTTGTGCTCTTAGGGTTTCTGTGCAATCCTGTATGAGACAACTAACTTGCACACAGTCGTATTGCTGCAATATACTAGTTCATGTGATTCCCTCTATACAACAGATACTCCTGAGCATTGTGGGTGGTAACTCTTAAACCCAACATCTGTTGTTTTTTTTTGACCACCCATTTAATTTTGTACAGCATCTGGTTGGTTCATCATTAATCTGACCTTTCCAGTGCGAGATCTGCTCTAGCATGTCCATGGCTATACAGTGTTTCTCATAGTGGACTACAGGAACTTGAAAAGGTACTGTATCCTTAATCTTATGGATGGTCTCATGCAAAATATGGCAATCAGCAAGCATTCCACACTGAAAAACACTGACAGCTTGAATCCATATGCTAAACTGGTAAGAAACAGCCAGTAGAGGTTCCACATTGTCATTATAAAACTTTGGATATATAACCTCTGGTACAATCCATTATTAGTGGAGTGTGGCTTGGCCCAGCTCCTTTGGTTTTACAGTTTACAGCAAGTATTTGATACTGACTGTCACAAATCATAGTCAGAACTAAAACATGTATTACCATGATCAGTTCACTAAAAATAAAATATACACAGTACTCATAATTAACCTGTGACCTAAAATCTCTACAAAATAAATTCAGCAGCATGACGATTACTGACAACTTTCAGGATAAACATATATTAGGAAAAAATGTCATTGGAAAAAAAGCAACAGTTTGTTATATTTGAAACAAACTGGGCAATATTTTAGAGAGACTCTGATAAAAACAGACAGACAATAGTAACATATCTCAAGTATTGCCCTGAGGCTGGTGTGATTTACTGACTATAAATACAACAGACATCAGAAAGCAGTAGTCAGAGGCATCGTTTCCGTGAATGCTAATACGTTTTCGGGAAAATGTTTACCATGTGGCGTTACAAACGTTTCTACAGTTTGTTTTAAATGAGAAAATACTAAACTTTTATTGGTCATTTATTATTCGAAACTCCAGAAAGTTTTGCTTCACTGTTAAAAATAAAACCACTAAGTGTATAATTTCTAATACATAACAATTTTACATCGCACGAGTATTTGTAATCATGATGTTAAAACAAGGTTTAAAAATGCATTTTACTTTAAATTTTACATTTTAGTTTTGTGATGATCGACATAATAATAATAATAATAATAATAATAATAAATATGATCTTACCTTTCATCCAAAGTGAACAATAAAGCTCGGACCGAGGACGTTTAAACACTCCTAGAATATACAATCAAGTCACATAATATGAAGGGTATAACGCAATATTTCGCAGGTATTCAACAAGTTCTCGCTATCGTCACTAGAGGGAGATTGAGTTTAAACTATTATACAGATTCCTCTATCCTTTATACTTTGCAATATGCTAAGCTTGTGACGTACCTCCCAGCTGCAGTAGTGCAATGTTAACAAACGGTACTTAACTCACAAAGTAAAAAATATGGTAAGTAAAAACGAAATGAGGAGGTGGAAGCTTCTTATACTGCCTGTTAATACTGTAAAAACACTTTTATGACAATAAAAAACCATTTTAATTAAGTAAATATTCATTAACAATGATGTTTCTAGTATTAATATTAATTATATTTATCATCTAGACGTGACTACAGTCGTTTCGAGTTGCAATAATTTCCAGCACATATGTTTCTTATTGCTGTTCAGCATTCTCAAAAGCAGAAATTTTTACTTATTATGTAGGGAATGGTGATGCTGAAGAAAAACTCATCATCATCATAAGAATAAACTTAAAATATTGAAGCAATCTTAAGTAACAGGAAAAAAGAAAAATACACCGGGACAATTAAAAATTGTTAACAATACGTTATGGTTGTGGAACAGTTCATTTAGGCGATGTGTACCTTGTAAACAGAATAATCTTAATTGTTTTAGGAAAAAAATGAGAAAAATTATCTTTATATCTCTTTGTTGTCATTTTTAATTTCTGAATGCCCCTGTTACCCATTAAAGCATCTAACTGTCATTGTCAGCATAAAAAAAAATACCATGTACTGTACACTGCTACATTTATGCATATAATATACAGTACATGCAGTGCCTTTTATCAGCAATGTTGAAAATGTTATTTTAACTTTACAGTAAATTTGTAGATGAGATTATACTTGCTTCATAGATTGAAGTGGTGTTCTTTGGAGCATCTGCAGTTAATTTCTTCACAGATTTCCATCACTTTGGAAAATAATTATCTTGATTTTACCTATCAATAAAATATTTCAAGAGTATCCTGGCTCTTCTTTGTACTTATGAGCAAATTCTGAAGCCTGGTGGACATAATGTCTTGGCCTGGGTGTGCATGACTGCCTCTGGTACTGGCTCATTTGTATCAGATGATTACACAAAGAGATTGGTGAGCTCAGTGGGTTGCAGACTTCACACAGTTATTGCCTCAAAGGGTTGTGCAAGGAAATACTGACTTTTAAACTGAGTACTACTTAGATTTTCCTAGTTTAAACACAAAGTATGTTTTTTCTGGTATGATCAAATGTATTCATGGAATTACCCCCAAAATTTATCATACACTTTATTAATCATTCCTATTAATCTTATAATCTCAGATACAGACTGACTGTAAAGCAAAAATAACTTCTGCAGGGCAGTGTATGCAAGTGTGATTATAGTTATGGTTGATTATAGTTACAATTGCAGTTTAAGGTAGTACTGTTATGTGAAATTAATAATTAGATCCGATGCCAGTTTCAGTTTGGCAAGGTACTTTAGATCTGGGTTGATAAACAAGCAAGGGACTGCTCCAGTTGGACCTCTTCAAGGATGTGCCTGAAGCATACTGAAGGGACAGTTTTTCTCTTTATAGACTTAACAAGATCCTAATGAAACACTGTGAAAATAGCAAGTGAATTTTATGTCATGGTCCCTTTCCTTGCTGAAGAATAAGAAACGGGCTTGGGTACATACTTGATTGGTCACTGCAAAATTTGACTTCAGCTTCACACAAACGCTGCCGGACCTCTGAGAATCCCCATAAAAGGGAAGATATGAAAATCTGGTCAGTTTCAATTTTTGAGGCACAATCAAAAATGAAAAATTCTAGAAAATGGTCTTCGGCTTCAGTACCATCCAGTCTATGGCCTTGGGATCTGATGACTTTAGTTTCAGCTGAGGTCTTGATTGTTTAATTAATGATTAGAGTTCAAACGTTCTGGAACTGTCAGAGATTTTAATTTAAAACAATGAGATTAACAAGAGGCACACTTTCCACTTCAAAATTAATTAGACACTGTCAACAGTTTGGGACATATACCTTATCAACAGGACATGCACATTTGGGACATACAGTAGCTAAATAAAAACACATCACCTAGCAGCTACAGTGTTCAGCTTGTGTTTAAATTACCTTTTGGTTTTGCCAATGTACAGTATGTTTTTCCACATGGACAATAGATCATATACACTCTGTGTAGTGTATGAGAAAAGCCCTTTTATATATTTTTTACCTGTGTGACAACACCTCAATAACTTTGGTTGAGGTTGTTTGGAATTTGTCTTTATTTTCTAGAGATTTTAATTTGCCAAAAGAATCTTAAGTAACCTTAACACTGCAACTTTACAGGAGCAGGAAACAATTAACAAGGCCTGATAACCCAAATTATCTGTTTAACTAAGTGTTCAGGCGGCACAGTGGCATTGAAAACATACTTTATCTTCAATTTTTCCATTAATTTGGGTTTCTGTTCAAAATATAAGGACTTCAGTGCAAAGCCATTTAGAACAGACATATGACTCTCACAGACAAGCACAATAAGTTTATTTTATATATAGGTGGTGCTACGCCTCATTTTCATTTTTTATCCCAGTAGTTAGCATTGCTAACGTTGCTAACATTGCAACATTGCTAGTGATGTTGAGACCCTGGTTTAGTACTGTATATTCTCCCTGTGTTTTGTGGCTTTCCTCTCACAGTCCAAAGACATACTGGCTGGCTAAGTGGTAGGTGAAATTGGCCCTAGGTGTAAGTTTGTGTTCATCTCTGTTTGTTTCTGTGTGTCTGTCCTGTGATGGACTGGCACCCTGTCCTGGGTGTATCCTGCTTTTTGCACCCGTTGCTTGCCAGGATAGGCTCTGGCTCCCCCTCGACCCTGTATTAGAAGAAGTGATTAGAAAATGGATGGATGGATGGTTTAAGGGTTCAATCAAACAACCACAGGTTGATGGACTTCAGGCAGACTGAAAGCCAGCACACACAAGGGCCAGTGCTCTAATCTACAGAATTACTGTACCTTTAACAAATGAAGAATTCACCCAGAGCAAAATCTTTTAACTCACTTTTCTAATGCTTTGCACATAAAGCCACAGGTAATATTTTCTTTCTTAACCTCATAAAAAGTTAATCAACTTTCACATAAAAATCCATATTATGAGGACAGTCCTTGAGTAACATTTGAACACGTTTTTAAGATTAGAATCTTTTATCAGCAATTAAAAGGTATGTATTTTTTTGAAAATGTTATCTACAACAGAATTTCACATCAGCATGTAAAAGGGAGTTATTTAATATGATAAAAGCTCTAGATAGTCTTAGCCTTGATAATATCAACAAAGATTTTCTATATCTTGTTAAATACAAATGTTCTCCACCTGCTCAGCATAGATAAAAGTCTTTGAATTCTTGACAAGGAAATATGGTATAGAAGACATTTGAGGCCTCTAACCATAACATTACTGAATAGAATTTCCCAAGCAGTATCAAGAAATGCAAAACATCCTTTACAGACTGTGCTCAATACGTGTAAGGAATGCGGGGTGTTAAATTTTTAGAGAAGAAAGGAATTGTTGATCATTATCTCCCAGGTATGCCAATTTCATTCATAAGGATGGAGTATACTGGTGAGTCCTGAACATTTTATTACCTTCATTAGCAAAGTTGTTAACTTTGCAGAGAAGCCTTTTGTTCTAAAATAATAAATAAAACTGTCTTGTTTATGCTGAGGCAGTAGTGACAATGCTCTTACCTGGGTCTCAAACTGTTTCCAGGAGCCCACAGTACCTTTTCACTTTTGTTCCATCTTAAGCTCTCACTTAATTTAAATGATACACTTAGCTCAACCAGTCTTTCAAAGTCTGTTGAAGTCCAAAGTTCAGGGGAGCCTAGAACCAACATTGGTAACATTTCTTATGTTTTTAACATTTGCTGTAGAGTTTTTTAAGGTAATTGTTATAGTTGGATGCATGAAAGTTTTCCAATTCATCAAATACTCAGATCAGTTCCATTAGTGAAAACCTGTGGGGACTAAGGCCTCCAGGTGTATTCCGTTCTTATTGTGTCATTTCACATGATTTGGCAATTTAAAACAGTGTTAAATTTGTTTGCCTTTGGAATTGTAAGTTATCAGGACAATAGTGGGATAAGATACTGTACGGTGTAGTCTTGTGGTGGAAAGTAGGCACCAAATCACTGTGACAACAAGTTTTCTTGTGCCTACTAGTATATTTAAAAAAAAACTTCTGTCATATTATTGTTGTTATTGTTGCTGTTTGAGCTCTTCTTTTATATACCTGCCCAGAATCCAGTCTGTGAAATATTTGGAGTGAATTATTGTACCTAAATTTACAGTATCTTTTCCAACTATATCAACAGTTGCATTGGAATAAAAACAAATTTCATCCTTAAAGAGAATTATTCAAAATAAACTGAAAATGTGGCATTAATCTGTGTCCTTGACAAACTGATTAGAGAGAACTTTTGGTTATGAAGTTACAATTCAGAAAAAATCTGGTACAGCCCAACAAGATGTCAATATAGGTACATGTGTGTATATAAAGGGGTTGCGGACAGAAATTTTATTTTTTCAGGAGGCCTTAATAATTACATCCTGTATCTTATATTTGAGAGACAACTACCACAGTGTCTTAGGAGCACAGACACGCATACTGTTGAAATACCACAGAGTATCCACACCCACGCTGAAGTACATATCAGAAAAGAACCCCTAAATTAGCTCAACTATTTTGAATCAAAACAACCACAAGAAATCTAAAACCATCTTAAGTCTCAAACATGGGATAGGTAATACATTTTAATGCTAGGAGCTGAAGACATTTGCTTAAAAGATGGGTCAAAACTGTCATGTGGAAGAAGTGTTTTTTACTTCTGTTTTAGTCAACATTTTCATATTTACTTTTTGCTTTTCAATATCTCTAAGGAAGTCTCTTTCATACCTTATCTAAAGATAGGATTATCTGTACTAATGTAAGGATATACCCTTACACT